AAAAAAAAAAAAAAAAAAAAAAAAGAATGTGTTGTGAGATCCTTGGGCAAACTTCAAATTCTCTGGGCGTTTGCACTCTAGGTTGGAAAATGAGAGGTTTGGACCATGCAGTCTCATCTGAGGTCCCTTTCTTGTACCGTCCTCCATAAAGCCTGAGTGTGTTTAGGTGCAGGAGGTTATGCTGACTTGAGACCCGCATGCATTTCTGGCACAGAGTAGAGGCTCCTCACGAAACCTCAGTTCTCTTCTCTTCCCCTGATCCCCCCCACCATGTTCCATGATCCTGAAGAAGACATAGGGTACAGAGAGGGTGAAAGAGTAACTGTGTGGACACTGACAGGAAATGCTGAGAAGCCCCTTAAGTGTGGCATTCCCACTTCCAGGTTGCAGACATGAAACTTGGGCATCTGGTCTACTCTGACCAACAGAGGAAGAATTGGCCTCTTTGGTTCTCTGGAAAACAACACTTCCTCCTCCCACCTGCACAGTCTTAACATTTCTGCCCATGAGAGTCTTCAAGTCCTTTTGAAGGCCCTGGGGAGACCCTATGCCACCTGTGGGCTTATGTAGGGCCTTGTGCCTGCCTCCCAGTGCTGGGGCAGCTGTTCAGGAGGGCAGGGCTGGGAGCAGGGACGCTTGGCACGGGGGCCCAGCAAACAGACCTCCTGGCCAAGGCTTGCAGAGTGCTGACGGCAGGAGTGGGCACCAGGGCCCTCGGCCTGTAGCTACTTGCTTGGTGCGTGTGCTGCCAGGGCATCTGCCTACAGAGCTGAGGAGTTTCATAAGAGCAGGGAAAGGAACCAGAACCCCAGAGCGAGTGAGTTCCAGGCTTCAAGAAAGGCCCATGGGCCCAGGCCCCTCAGGTAGCAGGAGGAGGAGAAAAGTTGGTGGAGGATGTGGACGCCTGGTGCCACAGGCAAGGCTGGAAAGGGAAGCCTACTGCAAAGATGGAGCATCCCTCCATAGCTGAGGAAAACCCTACCAGGAGGGGGGCTGGGAGGAGACCACGCCCCGGAGACTGACTCACCTGCCTCAAGAGCTGCCAGCACTCCTCCCATGGAGGGTGGCTGCCCAGACCCTACAGGGTCACACAGGGTAGGAGTGGAAGGGGCAGAGGGCACCCCAGGGAAAGGCAGGGTGTAAGGCCCTGGCATGGGGAATCCGAGATTATGTATCTGAACTTTCCTGCTTACCTGAGAGGTGAGGAAGAGGAGATGGTGACACTGGAGCTTGGGAGGCCTGGCACTCCCAGTCACACACAGGTGTCTACGGGCTTGGTCCTCAGCCTTACTGGACTTTGCTACACTGTTCTACAATGCCATTACCCTGTTCAGGACCTCTTCCTGGCTCGTGTTGCTTACCGTGTCCAAACCAAAGTCAAGGCTGTCTGTGACTTGGCTTCTTCTAGCTTTCTAACCACAATTTCTCAGTGCCTCTGGACAGGGCTTCTGCACTAGGCACGCTGGCATCACTGACCTGTGACCATGACCTGTGGCTACTTGCCACTGCATTTCTACCTATGCTGGAGCCTGTCCAGCTGGGTCTCCCCATGTGCTCTATAGGTTCTTCAGTGCCCAGCGCCAGCCAGTCCTCTTTTGCATGAAGCCTTCCGGGATTGCCCCCATGGGCACCAAGCCTCATTTTTTATGCCTACTGCATATGTAGTCTTTCTCTGCACATACTGGCACCCACTTGTCTTCCACTCCGTAAGACTCATGGTTACTACAGCTTCAATGAACGCCCACAAAGAGAGCCTAAGAAGTCCCAGGTCTCCTCCCTAGACTGCAGGTTACCTTTTTTTTTTTTTTTTTTTTTGAGACGGAGCCTCAAGCTATCCCCCTGGGTAGAGTGCCATGGCATCACGCTCACAGCAACCTCCAACTCCTGGGCTCAAGTGAGTCTCCTGCCTCAGCCTCCCAAGTAGCTGGGACTACAGGCGCCCGCCACAACGCCTGGCCATTTTTTGGTTGCAGCCATCATTGTTGTTTGGCGGGCCTGGGCTGGGGATTCGAACCCGCCACCTTAGGTGTATGTGGCTGGCGCCTTAGCCACTTGAGCCACAGGCGCCAAGCCGACTGCAGGTTACTTAAGGGCAGAGCCCACATCTTATGATTCTTATATTTCTCCCACAAAGTCTAGGAGAAGGGGGATGCTTGGATGGTCCCTTGCTCTATAGTCTGACCCCAGACATCAAGCACATCAACTCAGATGGCACCTACTATGTGTGAGTCACTTTCTTGGCTCAGGAGAGTCCTGAGCACTGCCTGTGCCCTGCATCAAGGGGCATGGTGCACTTGACGCCAGCCCATCAGATAACCAAGCTGAACTGTGCTCTCTCATCTTGATAATTGTGAGTGAAACACTTTCAAGACAGAAAACCTTGTAATGGGACACTTTTAACATCATATAGTCAGGCACAGTGGCTCATGCCTATAATCCTAGCACTCTGGGAAGCTGAGGCAGGTGGGTCACCTGAACTCACCAGCCTGAGCAAGAGTGAGACCCTGTTGTGGTGTATGCCTATAGTTCCAGATCCTCAGGAGGCTGGGGCAGGAGAATCACTTGAGTCCAGGGGTGTGAGTTTGCTGTAAGCTAGAATGTCATGACACTCTTGCCTGGGGTAACAGAATGACACTCTGTCTCAAAAAATGAATGAATGAATGAATCAATAAATAAATACAACAACAACAAAAACCAAAGAAAAATTTTAAAAATTGTATAATTCTTTTCCTGATTGTCTCAAGCTGCATTTTGTGGGACATAGTTACAACCCCAGTGCTGTCTGGGATTCTTTGCCCTCCATCGTGTGGCTCAGCCTGTACTGCTCTGGAGTTCTTCAGCTACTTTTCATAGCTTTCAGTGTTTGGCTGTGTGTTATCCCTTCTTATTGGTGCCCGCTTCTAGAAGTGTGCTTTTCTCCACCTTAAGAGTTATTTCTGGGCTTGGCGCCTGTAGCACAGTGGTTACAGCGCCAGCCACATACACTGTAGGTCATGGGTTTGAACCCAGCCTGGGCCAGCTAAACAACTACAACAAACAATAGCCAGGCGTTGTGGCAGGCACTTGTAGTTCAGCTATTTGGGAGGCTGAGGCAAGAGAATCGCTTAAGCCCAAGAGTTTGAGGTTGCTGTGAGCCTTGATGCTGTAACACTCTACTGAGGGTGACATAGTCATAAAAAAAAAAAAAAAGAAAGAAAGAAAGAAAGAAAGAAAGTTATTTCTGATCTGCTGGGAGCTAGAAATTCTGGTGATCAGGTTTGATGTAATAAAAAGATAATATTAATAATCATGGATAACAGAGTTTTTCTATGTACCAGGCACCATTCTGCATGCTTGTTGTTATTAACTTATATATTTAGTCCTCATCACAACATTTAAAACAGGTACTATTGTTATCACCATTTAGCAGATGTGGGAACTGAGGCCCTAATAGGCCATGTGTCTTCCTCAAAGTCACTGAGTTAACAGGGGTGGAAATGGTATTCAGACTTGGATAATCTGGTTCTGCAGCCAATGATCATAGCCACTACCCTATACTGCATCTAAATATAAGCAGTTATAACTGTTCAGTAGGACCTGGCTCTTAGCCATGCTGTCCTGACCCACAAGGGGCTCCAATCCCTAGGAAGAGTGTGAAAATGAAATGAAGAAGCAAAGCTCTTAAAGGATTTATTGTCAAAAGACCCAGAAGATGGGGCGGCACCTGTGGCTCAAAAGAGGAGGGCGCCAGCCCCGTATGCTGGAGGTGGCAGGTTCAAACCCAGCCCTGGCCAAAAAAACTGCAAAAAAAACCCCCAGAAGATTCATGGTGAATCTTGCAACATTGCTCTCTTCCCAGTCACTTGTACCAAATAGCAACCACCATCTTCTGTGTGGGTAATGGAGAAGCTGAGATCTACTGGTTTCAAATAGGGTCACCCAATCACAGGCCTCCCAAAAGGCAACATTGTTGGAGGATTAAATCTTAAGCCCCTCACATATGCAGATGCTGTTGTGATTTATGAAATAATTTATTTCAAGGGGTTATTAATTTCATAGGAAATTTTTTATCATTTTTTCAACAAATTGATACTAATATGTCATTACTATCATGTTGAAAGACACATATATCAAAGTGAAAACACTGCCCTAGATTAAGAGAAAATTGTCTCTTAGCCTGAAAGAACATTTGCTGGGCTCGCCAATGAATACGGAGAGGAGAGAGCTTTGGCATGGGGACTTTGTAAAATTTACATGGGTGCTTGGTAGCTTTTGTGACTTCCTTCTAAGTTCCTTGTTGAATGTGAAATAACTGCAAGTTTTTCCATGCTAGAAGTGTTTCCTGCCTAACAAAGTTGAGAATCAAGTTGGAAAGTCAAGACCTGCAAACATAAACAATTTAAAAATATTTCAAGATGCCCAGGGTGGCCTAAGGACACCAGGGAAGAGGACATAAAATTTTTCCAAACAAATAACACAGTTAATATCAGGTTTGAGAGAATCTTACTGATCTATAGACCAAACAAAGATACAAAGAAACATGATGGGGAGCTAATATTCATTTGACGTGTACTGATTGAGCACCTGCTATGTGCCAGGTGCCATGCTAATGCTAGGAAAGAAGACTTACGTCTGTTAAAACAATAAGCAAGTGAACATAATAGGTGGCTCAGTGTGCAACAGATGTAGTATAAGCAAGAAGCTAGAACGTGGCCGGGCGATGTGGCTTACGCCTGTAATCCTAGCACTTGGGAGGCCAAGGCGGGTAGATTGCCTGAGCTCACAGGTTTGAAACCAGCGTGAGCCAGAGGGAGACCTCATCTAAAAATAGCTGGGTGTTGTGGCAGGCGCCTGTAGTCCCAGCTACTTGGGAGGCTGAGGCAAGAGAATCTCTTGAGCTCCAAAGTTTAAGATTGCTATGAGCTATGACACCACAGCACTCTACCTAGTGTGACAGCTTGAGACTCTGTCTCAGAAAAAAAGAAAAAAGAATTTAGAACTTAACTGTGAAATTTCTTGGGTGTTAAGGGCATAAAGTTAATGAGGACTTGAAGAAAAAAAGTAATTTTCAATGGGAACAAATGTGTCTTCAGCACATCTCATGGGGCTCCAGGAAGTGCCTGGAAATGCACTTTGGAGTGAGTTCTGACCCACTGGGTTACCCAAAGCCCCTTGCTGCTCTTCACCATGAACACAGAGCTCTCTGTCAGGACCAGGGAAGGTAGGAGGACACACAGAGCTGAATTCTAGCCCCGGGTCAGCCCCAGGATTTCTGACTCCAATCCCGATGCTTTACCTTTCTACCTTTCTGAATTCCAGACGTTCCTCCTATTCCAAGTTACGGGGCGGTTGCCCTCATGGGGACTCTGGCAGCAGTGCCTTACTGAACCCCCATGGTGAAACTCCATGCCCTGTTTTATGGGCCCAGACTCCCAGCCCTGCATAGGCCTTGTGCTTTGCAGAAACAGGGGCTGTGCGAGCTGCACCTGTTCACGTCCACGAGGTGCTGCGTGCTGAGCAGGCCCCATGAGGCTGTGTGCAAGGCCCCACAGGCACTCCCTGCCTCACTCTCTCCAGGATAAACACTGCAGTTGGGCTGGGCAGGACTGGGGTAGGCGCTGTACGTGTCTAGGCCTGTGCCTGCCTGTGAGAGTGAGGACGAGAAAGCTTGGGAACTCCTCCCAGGGCTGCCAGGGCTGGCTAGGGAGCGGGTGTGTCAGTGAGGAGTCGAGACCCACAGGAGAGAAGCCTCGGCCCAGGCTGAGGAGGAGGCCCAAAGTGAGGGCCTCTACTCCACCTCACCTTGGCCCAAAAAGAGAGAATCACTTTTCCCATTAAGGAAGAAATTTCCCATCCCTTAAGCCCCATCCTGTGACTGTTTCCCTGTTTCTGACACATCTTCTTGGTACCTGTCTTCTCTCTATCCCTCAAGAAAGGTCCCATAGCCAGGAAGGCCTGCATCTGGGCACCCCTGCTAAGATGCTTCAGGCCCACCGCTGTCAAGGCCTGGGCTCTGTCCTCAGTCCTCAGCCAGGTGGGGGTCTGGGTGCAGATGTAGATAGCAACAATGACAGGGGTGGATTAGGGGTGAGTGTACAGAAGGCACCCCTGCCAGGCTGGGCCAGTGGTTTGCTCCAGCCCAGGGACAGCCTGGAGAGCCCCTCTCAGAATCTGCTGAATTCAATGGCTACTTTGGCTACCAAATAACTGTCCCACAGCTCCAATGCAAAGTCCCAGTGTTGTAACTCTGCCATGTTGGACAGGAAGTCCTACGAAGTCACACCATTTCCTCCATTTGGATTCAGAGGGCCATGCTAGAGCCCCAGTGCCTCTCCCCCGCAGACTTGGTCCCCTGCTCTTCCCTGGGCACCAGCCTGCAAATCCGCTCAGGGGGCCAGCGTGGCTGGCAGGCTCCATTGGGGTGGAGCACCGATGCCAGCTATGCTCTGAGTATTCATTCTCCCCATCACACCTGCCGTTCCCAAACACTCTCTCTTCCAAAGTCCAGAGAGCTGTGGAGTCCTCAAGCCTCGTTTTTCTCCAGGTGCAGGGATAAAGAGGCTATGGGAATATGATGCTGTCCTGGAGGAAGATTCTCCAGGGGTCCTCACACTTTTTAAACAGGGGGCCAGTTTACTGTCCCTCAGACCATTGGAGGGCCAGACTGCAGGCCCCAGGATGAATCAGCTGCTAAGCAGGACAGGCAGCAGCGGCAAAAACACCCGGCAGACTGGATAAATGTCCTAGGCGGGCTGCATGTGGCTCGTGGGCCATAGTTTGAGGATGCCTGATTCTCACTATGGAGGACAATCTCTTGAAAGCTACCCCTATCTCTCCCTCCTCTTAAGCCTTACTCTGGAGGAGTCCTCCCAGGGTCTCTGAAACACACACAGAGCTCCTAGAGAGGCATGGAAGGACAGATCAGTGCATTGGACCCTGGAGTTCCAGTCCCTCCTGCTTCCACCTGCAGGTCCTACCCATGCCCCAGCCAAAGACACTGGTGACTACAGAGGCAGAGAGGAAGACGTGCCTACCCAAATCCACACGGCAGGGCCAAGGCCCTCTCCTGACCGGACCCCCGCCCCTGGGGCACTCACACTCCTTCATCATGCCGATGTCCACACAGCGCTTCAGCCGGCAGGCCTGGCAGTGGCGCCGGTTGTCCTTGGTGATGCGGCAGTCCCCGTTGAAGGGACAGGTGAACAGAGCCTTCCGCTTCATGCTTCGCCTGCAGAGAGAGCACACATCCCACCCTGGGTCACCGACCTTCTAGCTCCTCAGCCCTGGCTGTGGAGAACCGCCTGCCGGGGCTGTGACCAGAGACACCTGCCCATGCAGCCCCCAGACCTTTCTTCCCAGCCACTGGCTATGATCACTACCAGGCTGGGCGCATCCCACCCCACCCCTCCTCCTCCTTGCACTGCCTGCTCAGCTCCATCATGGCTTGTACGTACTTTCATGATCTCTCTTCCTTCCCTCTTAAGAATTACACAGGAAATACACAAGTAAATTTTCCTAGTAAAAGTGTGTTAAAATACTGCATAGTAGCCCTCACAATGTCTTATAATGAGTCACAGTGAGAGGCAAGGATGCTAGTCTCAGCATTGTCTTCCAGAGTCCAAGAGATCTGTGAGTAGAACACTCCTGCTTCCAGAGATAGACTTGTGCACAGAAGGGAGAAAAGGCCCACGACATAGCTCCAGATACCCAGAAATCCTGCCCAGAAAGGGAAGAGGCCGGACGAGCAAGTGGGAGCTCTGAAGTCTGGCCTTGGCTTTCTATAAGGTAGAGAAAACAATGACTATATAAGAACAGAAAACTTCTAAAGGGATCTTTGCTAGGAAGCCAGTACCACTGTATTTTACATAAAACTGTGTGTGCGCGTGCACCCTTGCATGCATGGCAGGCATGAGGGCTCATTTCCTAATTCTAAGACTCTGCCCCACTGCCAGCCACACCATGTGGGCTTTGGGGGTCTGCATAACGGGCACCACCGTTATGCTTCTCATCACCTGTCCTAGAGGCTTCTGTTACTCCTCCCAACTCCACCAGGGACAGGTACCACTTTTTTTGCCCCAATGCAGGTAACATATTTCTCTGGGGAAAGATGGTGGCAAAATCATCTTCTGCATGAGCAGCAGCATCTTCCAACGAACTGCTGAGTGTGGAAGAGCCCAGATCGTAGAAGCAAAGGCCCAGCCACAACCCTTTCCTTCCCAGAAATGAGCTAGTGACATTGCCTTCTCCAGATGTCAGACACTAATTATGATTCTTGGTAAAACAAAAAGGATTCCCTGTTCATGTTCATGAGAACACACACGATTTAGGACAATTGTGCTCATTAGTATTCAGATATGCTGCAACAAGGGGACAGTTGGGGACCAAACTGATCTGGCTCATGGAATAGTGGAGAAGAGACCAGAGTAAGGCTCTGTTGGCAGTCACAGTCAGACTCTTCAATCAGTAGGGGACCAGGAGACAGTTAGCATAACCCCCTTAGTTTATAGATGGGACTACCAAGGTTGAGAAATTGATCAGTCAGGCTATTCAACAAAAAGGTTCCTAGGTCTGAAAGTCTTAGGGACCTGATGACCCAGTGGTTGAGGAAGCAACTGCTGTTGGTTTTGGACATTGGCTCTGGAACCCTCCTGTGACACCTTCATCACTCAGGTACCAGCAACAGAGCAGGGCTGCAAGGAGGTTGAGGGGTCCCAGGCTATCAGGGGTATGGAACCCCACGTCTATTTTGCCTCAGGCCCAGTCATGCCTCTGCAGTAAATAGCCAGAGAGACACTTTTGTGCCAGGCTTCTGTTCACCTTTACAGAAATAAGAGTTTTCCCTGGCACCTCTATACCTCTACCGCAGCGTGCTAGAGGGACAGGAGAATATGAAAGTAGCTTGGGCACTGCTAGGGCCCCCAGGCATGAGATCTAGTCATCCCCACAGGCACATTTATTTATATATTCCAGGATGTGAGATTGGCAACCCTCCTTTCCTTCTTCCCCTCCTCTCTACCTGTTACCACAAAGGCTCAGGCCCCAGAATGCCCCTCAATCTCTAAGCAGCTCTCAACCTGTGGGTCAAGACCCACAGGAACTGTATTAAAGGGCCGCGGCATTAGGAAAGTTGAGAACCACTGCTCTAAAGCTACTCAATCACCAGAAGCTTCTAATTCAGAATGAATTCTCATTTATTTTCTTTTTGTTTTTTAACAACCAGGCATCTTGCCCAGGGGCTGAGGGACTGTTCTATCCTGCCACCCACTGTCTACTGTGGCTCAGAGCTTTCCTGCTAAGCCTCCAGGACTGCGGGCACCAAAACCACACATCGCCCACTGAGTCCAGTGGGCACCTCCAGAGATAATGAGTCAAAGCCTCTCACCAGCCCTGAGCTGGGGGCTGTGATCTTCCCGAGGACCCAGGACAGAGGAAGCCCTAGTGCCCTTCAGAGGCCCACCTGTAGGCTCCAGGGGTCCTGCCTCTGACCCTCTCTGGTGGGCAGCTCCCTAAACTACAAGGGTGCCAAGAAATAGATTTTGGCACTTTACCATCTTTTGTTTATCTTTCTCATGTTGTTTTAAAATCTGAAGCCCAATTTCAGGATTCTACACACCAAAAGTTTGGTGATAGCTGCTGGGTTCAACGTTGCCTAACAATAGGAATGGACTCTTAAGAGGCTAGGAGTGGGAATAAAAAAATAACATAGAGCTGGGTTAAAAGAAAATAGTGGGGCGAGGAGGGCTTAAGAGTCATAGCATGAAGTACAAGAGTATTGAAAATGGAGAAGAAAATACCATCAAACTCTGAAGAGGGGGGCCAGTGTTCAGGGGTCCCTCCCACAACACAGATACCTTAGGTGTGTCTGGACTAGCGTGGCTGTTTGCTGGGCCATAGCTCCCGTTGGCTCTGAGGTCCTGTCCTTCCTTGTTCTGCGCCTTCTAAGGGCACTTCCACACATGGCATTTAGTATCTGCCCAGCCCTGGCTCTGTGCTTTGTCCCTCACCCCACCCTGCTTTCCTCCCAATGCTAATTGCGTATGAACTGGTTTGGTTTTGAGAAAACAAGAGCCTTGGGTTTCCATGGGAGCCATTTCCTCGGCTGCTCTCTGAGTTTGAACTCTGTCATCCCCTGCATGGTTGGCAATTACACCCTGCTCGGGAAGGGCAGTAAGTAAGGGTGGTGCAACCGAGCTAAATATAGATGCAGTTTCTAGAAAGCCAGAGGTGAGAGAGGGCATTGACGGACTCTCCTGCCAGAGACCAATTTATCAAAACACAAAAGAGACAAGAAGCTCACAGAAGCTGCAAGTGCCTGGGGCCAGGGCCTCAGGCCTGGGACAGTGGGGCCTTTCTCCAATAGGTGGCCTCTGCCAGCAGAGACACACCTTGTATAACTCAAGCAAGGGGTCAACTTCCCCCTCAGGGCTCTATCTCCACTGCAGCTGAGTGTCACCAGAAATCTCCATGCCTGGCCAGGATACAGGAGCTAGATGGAGCACCTGATCATAATGGCCTATGTGAGGCCGTAGGAAATGATAACATTTCACAACGCATATGTGTGGAAGCTATGGAGTTGTACACCTAAAATATATGCCACTTCTATGTGTCACTTACATCCTAATAAAGCTGGAGGAAACATCAAAGCAAGACCTGTGTCACCTGTTTGGGGCCTCTGATTTGCATGGGGCAAGGGCAAGGAGTTCTCAGCAGGTGGGCTTAAAACAGCCTTATGCAAATTGACCAAGGGACTGGGAAAAAATTAAAATAAAAATAAAAGCTTTAAAGGAAGGGTAAACACTGTAGTAAGGAGCACAGGCTTCTTTTTATTATTCACTTTAGCTATATGAACCAAACAGGTTAGATACAGAGGCCCTTTAACACAGTAATTCATTTCTGGGACTTTATTTTGTGGGTAGATCAGTTTGGAGCGTGGTCTGCTGCAGCACTGTCTGGAGAAGCCAAAGACTGAACCTAAATGCCTATCAAGGCATTTCGTTTATCATGTTAGAGAACTTCCATGGCTCGGCCCCCTGTGGCTCAAGCAGCTAAGGCGCCAGCCACATACACCTAAGGTGGAGGGTTCGAATCCAGTCTGGACCCGCCAAACAACAATGATGGCTGCAACCAAAAAATAGCTGGGCGTTGTGGCAGGCACTTGTGGTCCCAGCTACTTGGGAGGCTGAGGCAGGAGACTCGCTTGAGCCCAGGAGTTGGAGGTTGCTGTGAGTAGTGAAGCCATGGCACTCTACCCAGGGTGACAGCTTGAGGCTCTATCTCAAAAAAAAAAAAAAAAAAGAGAACTTCCAGTCACAGCAATGGGACTGGGAAAAGGCGAGGAAGAAGGCTGAGATGGGAACTAGCCTGAAGAAACGTTCTTTAGTAGATAAGGCAAGATGCAGAAGGGACGACGGTATACTGCCATCTACCCCCATCTGCGTGTGCGTGTGTGCGCACACACACTCATGTAATCTGGCTGTGAACACGGTGAATTGGTAACAGTGATAGCTCCCGGGAGAAGGTAAAGAACGGAGAATTGGGTTCAGTAGGAGACTTACTTTTGAACCGTATGCTTTTAAAAACCATATACAGACATTACTTCAAAAAATTCACTGGCCTGGCACAGCGGCTCACTCTTGTAATCTTAGCACTCTAGGAGGCTGAGGTGGATGGATTTCTTGAGCTCAGGAGTTCAAGACCACTCTCAGCAAGAAAAAGATACAGGCTCTACTCAAAACAGAAAAGAAAAATTAGCCAGGTGTTGTGGCAGGCACCTGTAGTCCCAGCTACTAGGGAGGGTGAGGCAAGAGGATCTCTTGAGCCCAAGAGTTTGAGGTTGATGTGAGCTAGGCTGATGTCACAGCACTCTACCCAGGGCAACAGAGTAAGACTCGATCTCAAAAACAAAAATTCATATCCCTAGAAATATTTGAAGAATAAAAATGAAATACAGGCTTTGGTTCGACTGATCTGCCTGAGTTTAAATCTTAATGCATAACCTTGGGCAAATTCCCTAACCACCCCATGCCTGAATTTCCACATATATAAAATGGAAACAACCCTACAGAGGGGGCTGTTGTGAGAATTAATTAATGAAAAGGGGAATAGGACAAAGGGAGCACCAAGTAAAGGGAAGGGAGAGAAACTGGCAGGGAGAGGCCATGGCCAGGACTACTGAGGAGTGGCCACAGACTTCAACCATTACGGTGAGATACTGAACTCTACAAGCAGATGCCAAGTTTTGTATGTTGTTCCCAATGTCTAGCCCCACAGACCACTGTCCTGTCCTGGTGAGCACCAGCAGCTCCTCCTGAGTGTCCAACTGATCCAAAGCTCTCGGAGCTCCCCAACCAGCCCCTCCTCGTCCACACCTGATGTTTAATGCCTTCTGTTTAATGCCTCTTTCTAGAGACTCCTGCCAACACCCTTTCCAGCTTCCATGATAAAAAGAGGAGTAAAAGATTGTCTGTCCTTAGAAACTAGGACACTATCAAGGGATGATGATACTAGCTATCACCACTGAGGGCTTTCTATGTTAGTACCTGACATAGTATCTCTGATACGCTCAACATTTCAGAGTAGATACTATCCCTGTTTTACAAGTGATACAAGAAGGTGCAGAAAGCTAAGTAACTTGCTTAATGTCACACAGCTAACAAGTGTAAAAGCTGGAAATACTATTATTGTTGTTATTATTATTATTTTGAGACAGAGTCTCATTCTGTTGCCCAGGCTAGAGTGCTATGGAGTCAGCCTAGCTCGCAGCAACCTCAAACTTCTGAGCTTACGCAATTCTCCTGCCTCAGTCTCCTGAGCAGCTGGGACTACAGGTACCTGGCTAATTTTTCTATTTTTAGTAAAGGCAAGGTCTTAGTCTTGCTCAGGCTGGTCTCTAACTCCTGAGCTCAAGGGATCTTCCTGCCTCAGACACACAGAGTGCTAGGATTACAGGCATGAGCCACTGCACCCAGCCAAAAGCTGAAATTAGAATTGAGATCTGTTTGGCCTCAAAGAATCGGGTTTTCTTATATACCATGGTCCTCATCACAAATCTACCATCTCTCAATCCAAGCTAGAGCAGCAATAAAAAACATGTCTCCTCACCTCTTGGGGGCAAGACACAATTATAAGAGGGACTTCACTAACAAATGCAATCAGTGTAACCTGGTTTTTTGTACCCTCAATGAATCCCCACCAATAAAGAAAAGAAAAAGACAAAACAACAACAACAAAAAAAAAAAACCACACCTCCTCCAAGTCCAGCGCATGAACCAGAGGCTATTTGAAGGACTCCGTAGGACCAAGAAGCCACCGGGATACTGGCAATCTCTAGATGGATGGTTTGGAAGTAATGTCTGGCCATGCTCTCCACTAGCTCTATGTTGCCTAAGTACAGAGAAGAGGATTCCGAATGTGTGCAGAGAGAGAATTCACCTCTGGTTAGAGTTCTGAGTTCCTAGAGACATGACCAAAAGGAAATGTAAGATCCCCTACACATCCCTACAGCCAGCTGTCTTTCTTGACAACTCCAACGACTTTTCCTTTCCAAATATTCTGGCTTCCTCTACCAAAACTTTTGAACATTACTTTTGGACCATTCACAGATAGCCCCATTCATTCTTTTTCATTTGCGGATGATTAGCTGCCAAGCCAACCTGGACAAAGTTCTCTCCAGCAACACCGATTTCTTGGTGACTCATTTACTTGTGCCCATAGAACACCCCGTGTGGCTGTTCCTCCCCTTTTCTCTATTTACTCTGCCTTTAAGCACTTTGAGTCTTAAATTGCTGGATATTTGTCCCATTTCTTTGCTTCTCTTCACATCAATGTTCCTAGAAGAGCAAAAAATGCCCCAGCAGAGTGACCTTTCTGAGTGCCAGAACATTCCTTTTGTTCCTGGATCCAGCCTGCCTTTTGCCCTCTGCACTCCACAAGACCCGTGATTAACAAGGTCCCTGAGAACCATGGGGCTGGCAAACAAAAACACATTTCTCCACACTGCCTCTGTTAGCTTGGAGCACGCAGCACAGGGAGACGACATATGGGAACCACTTTAAACAGCACAATCACCAACAAACCCCACAAAATACAGAAGACATAGACTAAATAGACTGTGAGAAGGACACTTGTTTGTAGTAGGAGAGCTGAAAAGGAAGGCAGGCCGCCACCTGCTCGACCTCAGCGGAGGAGATGCGCTGCCGCGATGCAAATGCTTCCCTGCTCTGCCCATGTGCACGGGTGACCACAAAAGCACTGCCAGTATTGATTTTGGTAAATTTTAGCAAATAGGGAAATTTGCAAATGCAGAATTCATGAGTAATGAGGATCAACGTGTGTGTGTTATTTATATATCAAATGAAATTCAAGCCAAAAGACAGAGATGTGTTTGCTCTTTAGGAAGTACAGCCCAGACTATCCAGACAGGGATAGTAAAGATTCAGGTAGGCTCAGGACAGGGTAATAAGACAAATGCAGCCTGCAGCCATAGTGCCAGGCCTCACAGGCAGTGGCTGTGACTGTCAGTCAGCAACAGATTCTAAGGGGTCCTGTAGAGAGGGGCCAAGGATAGTCCATGGTAGTGTTTTTTGTGCTCACAAGCAACACAGCCAAAGTGTTGGTCTGCGGTGACATGCGTGTGTAAACACACGATCCCTATCCATTCTGCCATCTCCCACACTTGGCCTTGGGCATGAGGGGACTCGTCCTTTCTCCACCCAGATGCCTCACATGGTCCTGTCCTGAGGGTTCAGAGCCTAGTGGTATGTCTGAGAGCAGCAACCACAAGTGACAGGAGTTAGAGCCACTCTGCTGAAGAAATGACCTCCAACATGTCATAATCCAATCAGCAGCCACCTGAGGGTCCTATATCCCAGAGCTAGATCCCAGGAGATGGGTGGCCTGGGAAGGGTGATGGCATTTAGAGTCAGCTCAAGGCTGTTGGCCAATGAATTAACCAAATAGCTTCAAGAGCTGTTGGGGACATATTGGTGGCAGATTAACAAGCTATGACCTTTGGTGACAACTGCCACATTGCCTGTGCCTAGGCCATTGCTGGATCACAGATGTCCGTTCTAACCTGGGGAGGGAGGGAGTAAAGAAAACACAAATGAGGGTGGCTGGCTGGGTGGCTGCAGAGACTTGTGTTTATTTTATGAGGGCATGGTTCCACTGAGGGCAGCAGTAGTGGCCCACTGGGTCAAAAATAATGTACTTACATTGTTCCTAATGTTTTTCAAAGCACTTTTACATATGTCATCTCATTAATGCTCAGATAAGTCTATGTAGCAGTGGGCTCAGATATTGGCACACTCAGGGGGTTGGGTGAGTTAACTGAAACATGGTCAAGGTATTTGACGTCCATTCACTTATGGCCAGCACCTAGGGACGCATTTTTGATGGGTTCCACGGCAGGAACTGGGTCCCAACGTGCGCACCCAGGTTCCTTGTCCACTACCAGGCAGGAGACAGCTCCTCCATTCTCAGGCGCTGGCAGGTGAGGATCCAGGTGGCATCTGAGACACACAACTTGGGCTGTGGAAGGTCCACCCTGCAGGAAGTGTGGGTTTCCAGCCTAAGATACACAGATCCTAAAGCCAGCAGTGCTGTTGGTCTGACCCCCTGAGCTGGGAATATTTAACACCCACAGAAGTGCTCCTGCCTGGCAATTGCTCCAGGCCATGAGACTCTGGGGCTTCTGGTTCTTAGGGTAAAGGACGAGGGAGTCGAGACCCTACATTTACAGAGAGCCCCAGAGTCCCTGAGCCAGAGAAGTATGTACCACATGAGTCCCTGGCACTCTGATTCACTCTGCCCTCAAGGCCAGGTGGGCTCTTCTATTCACACAGGAGCCAGGCCAGACTCAGTGTGCTCATTCTGGACCTGAAATGCTCTTTCCTCACTTGACAGTCAGAGCCCTGACCTCCACTGTGCCACCTCCCACATGGACTGCTAGACAGACGCCATCTTCCTGCCGCCACCTTCCAACTACTCACTCTCCAATATTTGCCAGTGCTAATCCCTCATGTTTCCCAGTTCCAACCTGCAATCCATCCCTTTCCCATAATCCCTCCCTGGCTTTGGATGGGAAGCTCCTTGGGCTTTTCTGCGGCTTTCTCCACACCATTTTCACTTGGAATCCTAGGCTTACAAAAGGGGACAAGAGGTGCTGGGAGAGAAACTGGCCCTGATTGAACCAGATTGCTGGTACATTCCCGACCCCGCCTAGGCATTCTGGGGTGGGCTTTCAGGCCTGGACAGACAAGCCGTGAGTGAAGACATGGGCACAGATCAGGGTGCAGCTGGATCTAGTGGGGAGGTCTGCCCTGAAGCCAAGTTCCTGGGCTTCCCCAAAGACATGCCTATCTCATGGGTTGGGAGCCTGCGCTCATCAGCCGGGGAGGAGGTTCCCTCTGGAAGGACACACACATGGGTCAGCATGGGGGGGCTGTGCTCCAAGGGGTGACAGGAAGATGGAGACCCACACAAACCTCAGGAAGGCAATTTCTGAGAGGATCAGAGGCCACAGGTAGAGCTGGGAGTGGGGAGAGGATACCCCTGACCAAGCCGCTGTTGCTCCCACGGCCGTGAGAACTGCCATGCTCCACAGACACGGTGGGGGAAAAGACACGGAAAATGCAGGGGGTTTCTTCATGGGAACATCGCGCTTCCTTTCCCTCCCTTGTTCCTAGAGAAAGCCTCACCTGAAGAAGCCTTTGCAGCCTTCACAAGTCATAGCATTGAAGTGAAAACCTGTGGCCCGGTCTCCACACACTCCACAGATCCGGGGAACATTCCGGTCAAAGTCACCAGAGTCAGGCAGGGAAGTGCTGGCTGCCATCGCCTCCATCCCTGTAAGAACAGCAGGCAAGTCACAGCCAGAGCTAGAATCAGTGCCAGGATCTGCTGTCATCCTTAGTACCTACCCCACCCCCACTGCCCCACTGCCACCAGGGGGCTCAGCAAAGCTGGGCATCTCCCCAGGGCCCAGGCCTGGATGCAATATTTTTGGAGCACTCGTTACGTGGCTCTCTCCACTCCGCTATCTCAGAGCATTGCCCGGAACCAGATGCTGCATCTGCTGGGCTACTTTGGAAGAGGTGGCTAGCCTCGAAGTGCCCTGTCCCATCCTCGTCTGAGGAGGCATTTTACTTCTGGGGTGTGAGCAAGGGTCCTATGAATGGACATAATGCATGCCATGTGCTGGCTCTGCCTCAGTAGCAGACCCAACTCAGCTCAGGGGCCTCTCTCTGGCCCAGCACACTCTCCTAAAGAAAATGGGGGGCCCTCTCACAATTTCAGCCCCACCACACAGTGACAAACCCTCAGCTCCTTCAGAGGAATCAGGTGCCCAAGCCAGCACCCTGGGCATACAGCTCAGGACTAACAGGCACCTGCCACAATGTCCTGGTACCAAGGTGATCAAAATACATCCTCCCTTTTGTTTGTAATAATATTTAAAACATTAGTTTGGGGGCTGGATGCAGTGGCTCACACCAATAATCCTAGCACTCTGGGAGGCTGAGGCGGGTGGATTGCTGGAGGTCAGGAGTTCAAGATCAGCCTGAGTAAAGCTAGACTCTGTCTCTACTAAATATAGAAAAACTATCTGGGCATTGTGATGGGCACCTGTAGTTCCAGCTACTTGGGAGGCTGAGGCAAGAGGATTGCTTGAGCCTAGGAGTTTGAGGTTGCTGTGAGCTATGACACCATGCCACTCTACCAAGGGCAACACAGTGAGACTCTGTCTCAGGAAAAAAAACAAACATAGCTCACTGGTTAGAGCAGCAGCCACATGCTCTGGTGCTGGTGGGTTCAAACCCAGCCCAGACCTGCTAAACAAATAAATAACAACAAAAAAAAATAGCCACACATTGTGGCGGGCACCTGTAGTCCCAGCTATTAGGGAGGTTGAGGCAAGAGAACGACTTGAGTCCAAGAGTTTGAGGTTGCTGTAAGCTATGACACCACAGCACTCTACTGAGGATGACAAAGTGAAACATGGTCTCAATTTAAAAAAAAAAAAACTAGTTTCAATATCTTCCTGGGCCATGTGAATCATTTACAATTAACTAATTTTGTTTTAATGGCCATTTTTCATAAATAGACATTAGCATCTAGACGTGGATTTCACATTTGAGCAAAAGAGAGACAAGGAACACAATGTAACAGCTTTGGGAGGGCCTGCTTGGGAGGCAGCTGGTTTGCCTCTTCCATTAGGCAAATTGGGCCCTTGGCTTTGGCTGCTGCCTCTGATCTCAATCACTGACAGGCTCAGAGCTGACTCCAGGACATCTCAGGCCTCTGTAAAACTCTTTCAGACCCTGCTGCCTCCCAGTTCTCCCAGCTTCTTTTTTCTTTCTTTCTTTTTTTTTTTTTTTTTTTGAGACAGAGTCTCAAGCTGTCACCCTGGGTAGAGTGCCGTTGCATCACAGCTCATAGCAACCTCCAACTCTTGGGCTTAAGCAATTCTCTTGCCTCAGACTCTCAAGTACCTGGGACCACAGGTGCCTGCCACAATGCCCAGCTATTTTTTGGTTGTAGTTGTCCTTGTTGTTCGGTGGACTGGGCTGGATTCGAACCTGCCAGTTCCAGTGTATGTGGCTGGCGCCTTAGCCACTTGAGCTACAGGCACCGAGCCAGTTCTCCCAGTTTCATCTGAATCCTCACAAGAGATGTTATGGGTTGACCCAAGGTGAGAAGGTCCCTCAGGTCAGAAGAAAAATAAGAGAGAAAGCCAAGAATGAGGGGACAAGAGTCCCCTCCTCCAGCCCAGGGTATCATTTTCTCCTACTCCTAGGAGAGAGAGGTAGATTTTGGGGGTCCTGAGAGGCTCTGAGCTACTTTTCAATGCCAAGGTCCACGATCTCTGATCCAGGCTTTGTAATATCAAAGCTCATTAGAGTCTCATGTCATTTCCTTTTTGTACCTCCGCCTTTTGAATGAGGCCCAGAGATGCCCAAGCCTTGACACATCTCTAGCAACTACTACTGCCAAACGTGCAAGCCAAATACTTAATTTTTTAAAATTTCATAAAGAGATTTATGCCAAGAAAAGGAAATAGGGCAGATAAATAAGGACACGGTCTTGTCAGTCCTGAAAGGACAGAACAAGTCCTGGTCACAGACACGGGAGATCTCTTGACCTTCTCTTTCACCTTTACTTTTCCTGGAAACTTTAACATAATAGTGACACCATTGCCTACCCCTTTCACTGCTGGATTTACACTTGCTAAACTATAATGTTTATATATATATACAGAGGATGCCCAAAATGTATGTGTATATACATTTTAGGAAAGGAAAAAAACTATATTAAAATCATAGTACTCCGATGGTGCCCTTAGCTCAGTGGATAGGGCGCCGGCCATGTACACCAAGGCAGGCAGGTTTAAACCCAGCCCGGGCCTACTAAACAACAATGACAACTGCAACCAAAAAAATAGCCAGGCATTGTGGCAGATGCCTATAGTCCCAGCTACTTGGGAGGCTGAGACAAGAGAATCGCTTAAGCCTAAGAGTTAGAGGTTGTTGTGAGCTGTGCTGTGACATCACGGTACTCTACCCAGGGCGACGGCTTGAGATTCTGTCTCAGAAAAAATAAAATTGTGGCTTGGTGCCTGTAGCTCAGTGAGTAAGGTGCCAGCCACAGAAGCTGGAGGGTTCAAGTCCGGCCCAGACCTGCTAAACAACAATAACAACTGCAAACCAAAAAAATAGCCAGGCATTGTGGTGGGTGCCTGTAGTCCCAGCAAGGGAGTACAGACTTGGGAGGCTGAGGCAAGAGAATCACTTAAGCCCAAGAGTTTGAGGCTGCTGTGAGCTGTGACATCATGGCATTCTACCCAGGTGACAACTTGAGACTCTGTCTC